CTCCATGTGAGGAAAAACTTCTTTACTGTCCATCTCCATGTGAGGAAGAACTTCTTCACTGTGAGGGTGACAGAGCCCTGGAACAGGCTGCCCAGGGAAGCTGTGGAGGCTTCTTCTCTGGAGGTCTTCAAAATCTGCCTGGATGCCACGCTGTGCCCCATGTTCTAGGTGTCCCTGCTGGAGCAGGCAGGTTGGACTAGATGATCTCTAGAGGTCCCTTCCAACCTTGAACATTCTGTGATTCTGTGAAACTGTTCACACTGCATTAGCAGATGCATGTCTGGACCTCATCCCGACCAAAAGAGAGGACCTGGTGCCCCCAATGCTCTTGGTTCTACCCCAAGCAGATTTAACGAAGTATCTACTAGAAAAAGGCAAGATGCAGAATTAGATCTACACCTTCAGCCCGACACCCTGCCGTGCTGGGAATCTGCGTTTCTCTGGGTCTGCAAAATTTCAGCGTCTTGGTTTGCAGAGGGGCACAGAAAGGATTTGGCTCCCTGCTGGTAAGTGGGCAAATTCTTGTGTAAAAACCCTTGTTTTCATGATCTTCTCCACTCCGCAGTGCGAAGAGCAAAACCCATCTCTGAAACATCACTATTCAGTGGACCAAGATAATAAGAAAGCGTTAGGGAGCCGGTAAAAACACTCTGAAAACAAGCTTGTGCTCTGGTACAGAGGGAATTGTTCTTCTATCCTCAGCAGATGCATCAAGTTTCACAGGACTGGGAGGTCAATACCATCCAGGATGAGATTTGTCTGATGGATTTTTGTAAAATAAATATTGCTGCCACAGAGCAACAGATCCTCTGGGCATTTAACCAAGCCCAGAATCCTTGTGTGGACACAGGCAGAGGAGTCTTGGTTGGGAAAAGTAATATCTGTTTAACAAGTCCTCAGGAGCAGACAGGAGCAGCATGATAACATCAGCCTTTGCAAACACCACAGACAGCAAGTCCTGTCAAAGGGGTTTCATGGTGAGCATTTTTTGCTAGGATACAATAACTGACTGGGTGTTTTGTGCCAAGAGCTTCTCAGAATGAAGTGAGTGAGAGCTTTGGATTTTGCAGTCCAGTTTATGGACTAGCTGGGGAAATAATATTAGGGAAAGAGAAAGGGAAAGCAAACTATGGAAGGAGGGTTCTAGAAATATCTAAATCAAGTCACATGAAAGCAGCTAAGAACAAAGTGCTAACATCATTTTCAGTTTCATGGTAGTTAGCTGAAAAGTCACTTTTTCTCCTAACTCGTGAAATTATTTGTGGTTTTTTTTGAGAAAAAGGAGCAGGTAGACACCTAGATGTCACTGGCCATTGCATATTTTTAATACAGAAACTAAATTTAGCTCTCCCTTCACTTTTGCTGCTCCACTCACTATGACATTTTCCAGATCTTCCTCTGTAATACATTTTTATTCATCTCCCCAGCATGGGAATATCTACCTTAAAAATTCTGACAGAGCTAGGAGTTGAATGTAGGTATCCAAATTGTAGTTCATTCTGCTTGTACAACAGTAGTACTTGCCTTCCTCCACCTGCAGAGATGTTGTGACTAGAAGCCCTGGCCTAGGCATAGGAAATGTTCTAATGTCATCAGTGTCCTGGTAGTGCAGCTACTTTCAAACAATGATGGAGGTTTAGTGCAAGCAGTAAGCACATAAACTGCTTTTCTTCCTCCCTCTTTAAAGGAACAAAAGGCAATATATCAATAAAAAAATCCGGAGAGAAGGAGTATATCTGGTGGCAAGCATAGTACAAAGAACTACTACCTTTTCATCTACCATCTCTATATAGTATATAATAGTACATATAGCACCATAATACTGGTGCAGCATCATAATACTGGTGCTGGTGAAAACCATGAACCAAAGTCCCTGCCAGGGTCAGGAGATCATATCCTGATTCCTGCTGGCAGTGTTTAGTAGTCAACTGCCATATGTTGGGGAAGGCTAGTTATGTCCTTGGTCCCTTGGACATCTTGGTATGTTGTGTGGAAGGAACTAAGTTACTAATTATTTCAGTCAGTGCAGAAAAGCCAGGTGCTTTTCTGAGTGAAACTTAGGATGTGGAATGCAAGATCCTGCCCCTGACAGCTTTGAAAACTTTTTATTTTAGTTTTGAAAGATGAGAGATGCAGAGGAATCAACTGGCAAAAATCTCCAAAGAGATACACAGGCACCTAGAAAAGAAGGACCAGAAGAAAATCCTTGGAAATCTTCAGTCTTAATGAGGCACAACAGGTTTCTCACATTTGGATGGAGATACAGACTAGAAAGAAGAGAAAGTGGCAGGCAGTCATGATAGACAGGAGCTGGAGGCTCTAAGAGGGCAAAGAGACCTCATTATTTTCATTAAAGTACCTAACAACATCTCTCTTCCCTGAGATACTCCAATTATTTGGGTTGGCCTTTGTGCGCACCACAGCAATTCCACTTTGAAAATGTCTTTTATAGGTTTCGGAAGCAATTTGGGATAGGTAAGCTCTTCACAAGAAGGTCTTTTGTTACATTTCACTTCCACTTCTAATGATTAAAAGTCCTGGGCGTCATCCCATTCTGCACACACTGTAGACACGCAGCTTTCCGTTTCATGCTGGTTGCCCATTCGGTATGCAGAGGGCTGCAGAAGCCCAAATATGTTAACTGAGGTCATGTGTGAAACTGAATAAATGCGGCTTATTTCTCTTTGCCCTCAACCTTTGAGACACATTCTGAGAGGAATTCCTGACTATTTAGGCTCCTGTGTGGGCATGCAAAAGATGAATGAACTCCGATATGCTGAATTTTCTTCCATCCTGCATTGCTGTCTATGTTGGACAGCTGAACATCTGCAGGATTTTCACTCTCCAGCTGCTTCCTCATGGTCCTCAGAGTGTTAGTCCCAAGCTGGAAGGGTAAGAGGACATAGTGCTGTTGCGCTGAACTACCCTGCCACTCCATGTGTTCATAAGGGCATGCAGCAGGAGCCAAAAAGTGTCTGGTGCTTCTGGGAGAGGGACAACATCCATGAGAGCTTTGGAGACCAGGAGTGGTACATCCCTCTGTTAACTGCTACCTGCCACATCAGTGTGTTCCTTGATGAAACAGTGATCACAGAACAGAACTTGCAAACAGCCCTTGGTGTGATGAGCATCAAGGTGGACCGCACAGGAAATACTGTCATTTTTTTAACGAGTCTATCAAGGATGGAATACCTGCTGGGAGCCTTTGGCTTATAAAAACTGTAGGCATTCCGTGAAAATATCCAGTTTCTGCTAATCCCAGCCTGTCTGCAGGCACTTTGGCACTCTTGTAGTGATGCAGTGGCAAGGCTGTTCTATATTACTGGGTCTCAGTTCCATATGTAATGGAATTGCTGCTGCACAGAGGCTCTATGGTAATGTGATATATTTGCATCTTGGGTTGCAAGTGAACAGGGAATGGTCTGGCCTGTCATGGAGCTCAGATGGTTCAGCTGTCCCAGCAACAACTGGCTGAATTAATGAGAAAAGAATTGGATAAAATGTTTGGAGGGCATCTTGTATCACTGAATATTTCTTATCAAGTTTCCAGAAAACCAGACAGGATCATTCTTTTGTGTTTGCCATATAACTAATATGCTGGCATAACATGTCTGTGTGAGGGCAAGGCCATTATGGAGTGTGTCATAACTCTCTGGGGCTTACTGCAATAGCTTATATCTTATTTGTTCTCATAATCATGATGGACATACTGTTAAGCTGTACTTTTTTGCTCAGCTATAGAGATTGCTGTGTTGGCTGCTTGCTATTAAAGTAATTTGCTTTGCAAATATCAATGGTAATTTAATTTATAAAAATGTTTACGGTGCAACATTAACTGCTACGCAGCTACCAAGTGACAGTGCTGATCTTTGCTCTTCTGGATCAGCTTTTACCTCTGCCCTCTCCCTCCTGTACTGCATAATCTAAGCCTTCCGTTACAGAAACTAGTCTAGCCTCACCATAGATACTAAGACCCAGTAAAGTTTTCTTTACTCTCTGCTGCTCTTGTTCCCTGTGAGCTCTCTGTATATCACTTACATAGTTCTCGTCTCAATTCTAACCTCTGTTGCTATATAATAATACTTATGAACTCTTGCTGAAGGACACCGAGATCTTCAGAAATTAAAATGTTTCATCAAAGCCAGGCACTAGTGTCCACCCAGCCCCTTGTGTGTTAATCGTGCCTAGGTGGACCCGCTTTGCGTGCGGGAACTGCTCTGTATGGATAGGAGCCCTCTGTGAAACATGGATAACTCAAGCATTACAAGGGTCTTGGGGTGGGTACTTCCAAAGTTCCCTGTGCCCTCAGTAAGGGTACGTGTATTCTTAGCTGGGCTGACCTTGCTGGAGACCTAGGCAAAACCCCAGAGCAAAGGGAGGAAGGGGACCTTTCAGCGAGGCCTTTTCCTTGTCGTCTTGACAGAGTGGGAGACCAGTCTCAGCAAGTCTGCCAAGCTTCTACAGTGACTTCCTTTTTTACCTTTGGGGGAACATTTGTAACTGCTGTGGAGAACAGGAAGAAAACGCCCAAACTGCCATGAGAAATTGCTAGCTTATCTCAACCAGGCCTCATAACGCTCTCGGTTGGTTTTTATCTTCGGTTTGCTTGTCTGGGCCTGCAGTGGGGGATGTTAGTAGGAGGTATTTCTATGTCTGTAACTGCCTGCCTAGCACCATGCTGCTTCCACCCCTGTGCTGGGGGCTCACGTGCGGAGTGGTACTTCTGGAGCAGTGCCCTTAAGCTGCAGAAATCCCTCTGCAAGTGACCGTAAAAACAGAAAGCACCTGTCAAAGCCTGGAGGTGCCTAAAGGTGTTCAGGAAGAGGACAAAAGTATCTGTTTAGGACCAGGAGGGATCATGCAGGAGCAGAGAGCAGGGCACCCATTGCCTTCCTGTCACGAGGGAGGGAAGGAAGGGAGGTCCTGCAGCTGCTGGCTGGTTCTGCAAGTCTGGCACAAAGCCACAGGTTTCTCTTCAGTTTCGTTTCTCGCAGACAGGCTAAACCGTCACTGCTGCAGCCATGGCAGAAGCTGAGGAAGAATTTGGGGAGAATTCTAGACTAGAAGATGAGCTCAGCTGTCCCATCTGCTTCAACTTGTACAGAAATCCAGTGTCCCTGAGCTGCGGTCACAACTTCTGCAAGGAGTGCATCCAGAGGACCCTCAGCGCCCAGCAGCTCTCCAAGGCCCCTTACTCCTGTCCAATGTGTAAGATACGGCTAGGGCCCATCCTGGAACTACAGAGGAATTTTCAGCTTTGCAGCATTGTGGAAACCTTTCTGGCCACCACTTCCAAAAGAAAGGAGACCAAGACTTCTCCAGTAGAGAAGAAGGAGGTGGTTCCCTGTGATTTTTGCCTGGATCTACCCCTGCCAGCTGTGAAAACCTGCCTCACCTGCAACTCGTCTTTGTGCCAGGCCCACCTGAACAAGCATGAGGCCAAGGCTTCGCAGAAGGACCACATCCTGGTAGAGCCTGGTGCAGGCCACTCTGCTGAGGCGAGGACGTGCCGGGAGCATGGCAGGCTGCTCGAGTGCTTCTGCGAGAACGACGGTGCCTACATCTGCATGTTGTGCCCCATTGAGGGCTCCCATAGGGGCCACCACGTCATCACCCTCAGGGAGGCCCACGACAAATCGCTGGTAAGGGGCACCCTGCCCACACCGAGCAGAGCTTGCCTGGCAAAGCCCTGCAGGGAAGGGGGCACCAAGGCTTGGGCAGGAAAGTGTTTGCAGGGAAATTGGAGGGATGGGCAGTGTCTTAGGGGTTATCAGTCTCTGCTTCAGTGGCTACTGGCGCACTGCAATAGAGTTTGCTTTTCCCTACTGTCTGTGGGTTGCCAAACTGGTTTTAATCAAGGGGATCAAGAGCAGAGGAAGGCCTTGGGGCTGCCTGGATCAAGGGTGGGGAAAGCCTGTGATGCCCGTGGCAGGCGGAGCTGCCCAGCGTTGGGGGAATGGGCGCGGAGCGAGTGAGGAGTGAGTGTTGCTAATGGCGCCGGAGCGCGGCCGGCCGCCGCCTTCCGCTCGCTGCCTGCAGGGGCCTGGCGTGCGGCAGGAGGAGCCGGGCTCCCTCCGGGCAGAGGCCACAGCCTCCTCGGGAGTTAGCGAGAAACATTCCAGGGGTAGCGAGAAACAGCCTCTGTGCTTCTCTGTTGCACAAACCAGCTTACGTGTTGGAAAATAGCCACCTCCTGTGTGCCCTGAGTTGCTGAGAGTGCAACGCTGCCCTGCTTCTGGGCGGCCGCCTCCCCGAGCCTGCGGAGATCTCCGTGGCAGTGTTTGTCCTTTGGAAAAATTCTTCTAATAGAGAAGGAAATCAAGAGTGCAGCCTCTCGGAAGGAAATGGAGAAGGGTTTTGGTGCAAGGAACCAATTGGATTTGATTAGCTGTCTCTTGCTTTTTTCAAAAGTTAACATTTTCAAGCTGTGACATAGTTCACAGAAAACCCAAGTCTTCCTGCATTCCTTTTATTAAAGGGAGAGGAGAAGCAGGAATGCGGCAGCTGTGCTTGTCAGTGGCCACTAGCAGATAGTCCTGGTGCTAAAACCCTGCAGTAGGCAGCGGAGGAGTAACCAGTCCCAAGCACATCACAGCCAAATGAATAATACTGGGAGATTAATCCCTGAAGTTTAAGATCTCTCCTGAAATGTGCTGTCATTCATTATAATAACATTCAGAGATTGTGAAGCCCATTAAAACAAACAGCTGTGCGAGTCAAGTGCCAGTGTCAGGCTGATCCTATGGAAAGATGGTTGCTTATCTTGTCTTCAAATCTCCACAAATGTAGACAGATGTGAAAACTAAGGATGTGGGTGGACACAGGTGCAGATTTTGGCAGGAACAGAGCTGTTACAGATGAATTAAAATGTCTTCACTGTATTATAATTAAGCATAATTTATTTATGCAAAGTGAAATTATTGCTTTATTAGCCTACTTCATCTTAAGTCACATATATATAAAAATTAAACATGGACTTCAAAGACTCCAAGAATCACATCAGATTTTCAGTTATGCTTGGTCTTTATGAGGCAGCTAAACACAGTTTATGTAGGTCTCATGCAAAGAAATGAGTGCTTATGAGAATGGTAAGATAAAAGTTGCACGTGCCACTCCATGAACCAATGTGTTTTAAAATACCTGTGTTGCTTGCCTGTTATAAATGTTAATGCTCTCTTTCCTTCTACTAGGGTGTTCTTTYTCACACTGTGAAACAGATGCAGGAAAATAAAAGTGCCATAGCTAAAGCCTTGGAGAAACTACAGGAAAGTGAGGATCAGCTCAAGGTTTGTGTCCAAGTCACAGCAAATTCAAGGCATCTTCTTTCATCATTTATAATAAATAATATTTATAAAAATACAGTATTTATAAAAATAAATAAAAAATGATGGCAACTAAAACACAGTGGCCTGTGCTGCCTTCCTTAGCCTGCCTCAAACCACTGGGGAGCAGTCAAATTCTCTGTAGTTTTACTTTAATAAAGGCTTGTTCGACTGTCAGGATTCATTTTGGCTCACTTACAATACTTAATTCATCCTTGAAGTGTTCCTTATAAAAAGTACTAATTATTATTAGAGCTACAATATGAATAGGTAAAGTGAGGAACAGAAAGAATTCTGAGCTAGAACATGGCTGATAAGGAAGAAAATATAGAACTTTTTGGACTATATGTGCAGCCAATAATTAGAGAAACAGATGAGCAGAAACAGAAGTGGTCCACAGTGAGGAAAACACTGTTGTAAGAAACTGGCGGAATTCAGGCTCTTCCCTGGCATCCCAGCCTGTCTATATAGAAGGAAAAGCTGGTAAATTCTATAATTTAATGTGGTTTCATGAACCAGGATGCAGACTTGGCAGACATTCAGTCGCAGGCCACGCTTTGTATATATCATTGCATATTTTTCAAGTTTTCTTATTTATAAAAGAAAAGCATCCTGAGTATATAAGTGGGTTTTCAGTGTGAATCACTGTGTTTCTCGCATTACTAGCTGAATTTTATCTGATTTTGTTGCCATATCAGGATATTTTTCATAATCCTATGTTTAATCTGACATTCTAAGCAAATGCTTGTTGTCTCCTTTCTAAATGCGATTCAAAGGACAGATACAACCCTAATTAACAAACAGACACACTAAGCTGAATTGCTGAGTTCCTGAGCCAGTGTTTTTTCTTAACTGCTCCTTTAGGTGAATACGAAAACAGTGACTTCTCAGTTGGTGAAGCTGTTTGAAGAAATCAGGGCACAGATAAATAAGAAAGAAGAGCATATGCTGAGTAGCATCCAATCCAATGAGAAAAAACAACTGTCAGACATTACTGAAGTGAAGAAGAAAATGGAACAGAAGAGAGAAGAGGCTGCACAGCATCTTCAGTCTTTACAGAAGATGAGAGAGCAACCAGATGCTTTACTCTTCCTCAAAGTATGCAGCAGCATTCTACTTTTTCTCATCAAAATATGCAGTTCTTAGCTGGTTGCCCTTTCTGGCCATCATACTAACAATTTCTCTCTCTCTCTCTCTCTCTCTCTCTCTCTCTTTTTTTTTTTTTTTTGGTTGAGGGGCACAATCTTCTTTTGTAGGAATTTAAGCTGATACAGGATAGGTAAGTTCTACATGAAAACATTTTTCTTCTTTATTAAAATATGACACTGATAAATGGAGTTCTAGAAAACACTGTTTGTGTCTCTCCATCCTCACACCCTACATCACAAACCTGTTTTTTATTCCAGCTGAGTTAATGCACCATGTCCACACAATTAATGATAATGGAGACATATTTGACTGTCACTCCACTGGTCCCTTTTAATTTTAATCATACTGGTAGCTACATATTTACTCATATGTGGTATCTAGCTGAATTTTAAGATGTCAGTTCTACACCTTGTACGAATGAAGGCTGAATTTGAACTTGGGCTGTGAGGATAACTTTGAATCCCTGCATACCTAGGGGCTCTGCTGGCGGCAGCACAGTTCACTACTCACAGCTGTGCTGCAAGTCAAAATGTAGCTTGTGGGATCAAAGTCATTTTCCAGAAGCCTGGACACTACTTAACACGTTTGACATTTTCTTTCTATCACCACGGTAGTTACTCTACCTACTGTAACACTCTAACTGTAACAGGTCAAACACTATTCACACAAGAATATTTGCAAAATGCCTCCCCCTTCCCCATTTTCAGCATTTAAAAATTCCCATCCAAGTCTAATAGGTATTGTCTAACAAATTGTTACTCACAAAAATTGTGACTTGTATAACTTGGATAAAGAGAATCTTTACGTGATATTCTGTCAAAAAATTGTCAAAAAATCTTAATTTTCAGAGTTCTTTCTAATTAATTGGGCTTGCCCAGCATTAGAGTTTGTTAATTGTCCAATGCTATTGCAATGGTTTTCATTGATGAATTGACTGTCTGTGTATCCCAGGATTAGGGATAAGAATTTCAAGCCTGAGCAGATGGAAGTATCAATAGTGGAAATGGATGCGAACAAAATCCACAGATGCAGAAACCTGATCGGGATGTTCATGAACCAGCTGGACTCGCTGATGCAGGAGCTGTACAGTAAGTGATCTGCCTGCACCTACCGCAGGAGTGACCCAGAGCAGAAAATGGCAAGCAAAGGACAAGGTCCACCCAGTGAGCTGTGCTCACAACCTGCAAATGTTAATTCTTTTGCAAGGGGCAACGCGGGTGGCCTTGAGGGATCAGCTGGGGATCTGAAGTGAGAGCTCGAGTGGAATTTTGGGGGGCTGAAAATATAGCATGGGGATAAAGGAGAAAGGAAAGCAGTGAAGACAAAAAGACCATTTGTGTGAATAAGAAAAAAGGGATCTACTGCTAACTCAAATCAGGCCTATTTCTTCTCCTTTTGTGCTGGTGTGAAGCTCTCACCTGCCTCCACAGCCTTTAGATGTTCAGTCATGTTATTGAGACACATCCTCTTCATTTGCCCGCTTCCACCCCAGTCTAGATAAATCCCTGACCGTGAGATCCAAGTGCACAACACCAAGTCCCAATCTCAAATACACTACCAGCTGTGTAAAACATTCTTCTTAACTTTTCTTAGGTGAACTCAAGAACCAGTTACGGCAGAGCAGGTACATCCTTTTCTTTACTTATAAAATGTTCTCTGCAAATTTCTGTTTTCTATGTGTTCTCTGTGATTTCTGTTTTAAGATGCACTAACATTCAATGCTGTTTCTTTATAGTGCGATTTCAGCTGATGGTACATCTTTTAAAAGTAAGTGTTCAAAAATACTAGCTTTTCTTTAGGGCTCTGGGTTGGGCCTGTGAGTCTTGCAGAGAAAAGCAAGAAGCAGATGCTGTGTGAATGCATCAGAGAAATCATTTATTTCAAGCTAGAGGGAGAGAGTAGCTCTGCTTCATTACTTGTTAAAAGTTCTAGGAAAGACCACAGAGGGGTTCCCATTGACTGAGGAGGAGCTTGAACAAATCTAGCACCTGAGAGAATTCCCAGAGAAATCCAAATGCTACAGGATATATTAAAGCTGTAAACATTATTTCTCTTTAGATACTACTAATTCAATACTCAGCTAGTGCTGATGGGAAGAAAATGGTATGTGTTTTCTACATACTTTTTTGGAAACAAAATATTTTAATTGCTGCCTTTCAGCAGCTAAAGTTCAGTTTGCAAAGAGTTCACCAATTCACAAATTCACAATAAAATCTTTTTCACCATTTTTTTTTTTTTTTGGCAAGGGGAGGGAAGCACTCTGCCAAGCATTTCTTATAGCAGATTAGTAATAAAACAAGTGTGCTTGAGAATAGCTCTTTTTCAGGGGATTCAGGGGACGATGTACTCCTGCCCTAACTGCAAACATATTTGTATTAACAGATCCATCGGAAACAATAAAACCTCCAGTTTTTCATTGGGGCTATGCTTTTTCTAGAAATATGTGGGAATGATATGAGGCAAGAAATGCAGGTAAGCTACTAAAAGGAGTCTTAACTATACAATGTCGCCAAGCAATAGAGTTGCTTTTCTTTCAACATCCATTCAGCCTCAAATCTAGAGGTATATTTTTAAATCAAAGCACATGGCTACTTATTTATCTGATGAGCCCAGTTTTCTACAGATATACTAATATCTATATTCTATGCAAAACCAGATGCTCAAAATGGGAGAGAGAAGAAATATTTGGAATTGAAATGAACTTGTTGAATATGCAATTAACATAGTAATAAAATTGTACTTTAATATTACAATAAAGTTCAATCTTTTCCATCTTTTGTATATCTACAGTATAAAACCAACTGAAATGAGGAGTGTGCTGGAAGGAGCAGATGTGAACAGAGAATGGCCTGCATATTCCTAGAACTAAAGAAGAGATAAAAAAAAAAAAAAACCCGAGTACTGAGATGGAAAGGCAGAATTAAGCACTCAAAAATGTCCTCTAATTCTGCATATTTTCCAAGTGTCTCAACCTCCCCTGCATACATACTATCCAAAGCAATTCCTGTAGCAGATGCAAATTTAGAAAACAAGCGCTAAAAATTAACACAAGCACAGGAAAATCTCCAAGTACTGTTAGCACTCAATGAGTAGACTGTTGTAACATAGTACTTAGGATTTTTGTGTCTTATTAATTGCTGCGATTTGTCCTCATTGTATGCTTGGACTGGCAAATAAACGGCTACCAACAAGCAAGGTTGTTTGATTTCAAACCACCAAGCGTGAGTCACTGTTGGGAATGTTGTGCAAGGCTGCCACTGAATGCTGTTCAGGTCCATGCCACTCATTTGGGTTATCACATTTAACACATTTCATGTTTATAATAAGGAATTATCTTTGTATGAAACCATCTTGGTAAGTCTCTAATCAACATTCTAACACCTCCGTGACAGAAGACTCAGAGTGCCATGCAAAATACCAGGCTCTATAAAGATGGTTTACTGGCTACCTTGCCATAAAAACAGATATTTTCTTCTGATCAAACACATGCTATGCTTTCCAGATGTCACCTTTATTGCATATGTTGATTGCAGAAGGATTCCATGGGCACTGCTAGTCAGATAGCTCACCCGCCTGCTTTGGAGCCTAGCAGTCCTTCAGATCTGGACGTTTCTTCTACAGACTGGTAAAGAAAACTGCAAAAAGACAAGATTGATGAACAAAAACAGTTCAACAGCCAACCAAAATTTTCAACATGCGCACACACAGAAAAAGTTTTATGAAATCAAAGTCTACAATTGCTGGTGCTTTCATATAAATTAGGATTTGTGGCTAGACATATTGACATTAGTATAATATATTTAGTGCTTTTTGAGAATATTTGGAAGGAGATAGTTAGAGATCTATATAGTATATAATAATGGCATATGATGCTTGACTTAGTCACGAATCAGAGAATTGTGACCAGATGCAGCTATTGCTAATCTTATATCAAGAATTCAGTCTGCCAAGGGTTCCTCTCATACTATCTTCTTCGTATAAAAAATATATGTCAGATAGAAAAAGTCAGGAAGACTCCCAGTAGAGTGAAAAGAGTTTGCCTAGTGAGCTCCCACAAGATGAATCGCCTCAAACAAGACCACTTAGGATAAAGAAAATAAAACTTGGCACCTAAGGAATGAAACTCATTTAACATCACAAATGGCCTTGGGAAAAAAAAACAGCAAACGCATCCCATTTTCTCTAAGACTTGCTGTTTCAAAAGCAGTGCAATGCCTGTGTCAAGAGATTTTCTTTCATTCTTTCCACAGATTTGGTTTCTTTTGCTTCTTCCGAGGGCTGAAAGGTGAAGAATTTTGGTCCTGGGAGGAAAGCTGCTGTCTACTGCTGGGCAAAGGAGCTACAAACCCCGCACAGGCACTGCCATTCTCCAGCGTAGCTACTGGCAGGCTCAGATTCTAGTTCCCTTTCTGCAAGGCAGATGGGTTTTCATTGTTTTGTTTTGCAAGTTTTATTTGCAAGTTAAAAGAAAAGTGGATTGGAGGGATAGGTACAACTTCATTCTGCCACAACTTCATTCTGCCACTTGTGGTATTTGATATATAGCCAATTGTGGGATTAAAAATAACAGCCTCAGCAAAACCCATCTTGGATTTAGTGCAATGTTTCCCTTCCTGGCTAAAATGGACACGCCAGACTGTACTGGATCTGCAGCCTTTGGTCTGCTGCACACGTCAATTGTCAGCAGAGCAGAAAGTGTGCGGCCAGATCTGGGGAGCTCAGCAGTAGCTCAAGGTGACTTTGCAAATATTCCCTACTGTTCAAGCCAGCAGGACACAAAGGACAGCTGCTCTCAGCTATTCAGATGAGGCAAAAGAAATGAGTCTGTCCCTCGGCACTTTCATTACCTAGGCTTCTCTCTATCTGCCAGGTAGTTATTGCTTTCACCCCAGGCAAAGGGACCGTGACCAGCCAATGCAGTTTAGTGCTACTGCTGCAGATACCACGTTACTGAACTGCTGCAAATCAGTACAGACAGTGAAAGATTTAGTCAGCATATTATTGCAGGTAACTCCATTCCCCCAATCCAAAGTGTATTCTAAGCTGATGTTTTGGAAATGGCAACATCCCTGTATCCAATTCTGCAATGCCACTTTACCATTTCTCCACTGAAAATTATGTTACATATTCTCGTGCCTCCAGCCACGAGGTATTAAGAGAGAACTGGAGTGTTTCTTTTYGATGTCTCTAGGAGAGTGAAAGAGCAACTAGCTACAGAATGCTGAGCAGTTCCTGTGCTCCTAGATAGAAAGATGCTCCTTCACCAGCATCTTTCTGTATATATGGCTATGCCCTTACTGGCAAGGGGCTCTCAAGTCTTTTACCACCATTTCTCACACTGTTCGGGCAGAAATTGTATAATGTGATTTATKGACAAAAACAAAGATGATTATTATCTGGATGGAACTTGCTTAGCATCTTATTTGGATGGAATAGCGCACATTGCTTTGCACTGCTAGGCTTATTGGACTAGAATTGGTAGTTGATGCAAAAATTTGCCAAAATGAAGCAAAAGGAGGTAGCTCTATTGAACAACAAATAAAGTGATCCAGAAGATAAGGACTTTGTAATTGCTGCTGTATGGCAAAAGTAAAGGATTTCAAGTAGATTGGAAAATATATATTTTTTATTATTGCCATAGGCTCACAAAGCTTTTGGTTGAAAATTAATATCTAAGGTAGATCTTCTGAGTTAGATACTAAGCTGACAATGCAACTCTATTTCCCCATACATTTGGCCAGCAACAGTATTAGCAAATATTTACTCCTCTGAAGTTGAGACTAGTCGTATTTTTAATATCTCATATATTGACTTGAGAGTAGCAAAGAGAGGCAAAAGATTAGATGAAAGCAATGTAAGAAAATATATTGGAGTCCAGTGATTATTTAAGTAAGCCTTCTATCCTGAAAAGATATGCTGAAAATTTCAACTGTAAATTAGCTTTTAATTCTAGCGTCCAGTATTGGACTATGACATACACTGAGAGCATACAGATATTTGTATAGAAGGATCTCTTACTTGATAGCAAAACAATTGTAAGATATGTATCCCTGAGACATGGACAGAGTTTATTTCCTTTTGGAATCTTTATGGCTAATGTATTTTGGTTATGTAAAGACTGTGATTCATTGCAGCTTTGATCATTTATTATGCTCTTTTCCCTTTACCTGCTTCATTTTTATTTGGCGTTTTTCTCATCTTTGACAGAAATCTTTAGAAGAGGTGAGAGTGAAGTAGCTGATTTTATAGTTCTCTTTTGCTTCAGACAAGTATTGCTTGATATGGCTGAATTTATAATCAAATACATAAATAAAATACTTTTCAAAAGCTAGCGCTCTACTTAATCTGATGGATTTCCCAAGCAAGGCAGACATACCACACCTAGACCTGTATGTGTCTGGCACCAGGGCCTTGTATAACCACCAGGCTAAACACCAAACTCCAGGGATATTACTTTGATTTTGCACATAGGAAAACAGGGACTATCTTAAGGAAGATTGCTATAAGTCCCCAGGCTGCTCTCCCATATGGCTGAGGTCCAAGAAGCTCAGGGAACCTTAAGGTTTCTTCTGTTTTGACCTTATTTTCCTTTAAATTAACATTCAGCAAAATGCCATCAGTATGGCTGCATTCAGGGAATGCTGAATTAGAGAAGGTGTCTGCAGCAAGGGGGCTCCATGCTTGAGCGATCCACGACCAGACACCAGGATTTTTGTACCTAGTCTCTTCATTTCTGCTCTTGGTGCTTAACCAGGTAACAAGATAATGCTGCTAGTCCTCCCCTTAGCTGGGTTAGTACCTTATAGCTATTGCCTCAATAATTTCTGTCTCATTATAAAAACTCCCTGGGAATTAGCAGAGTGCAATTTGGCATGTTTGCATGACGGAGTCCCCTCGTTAGAGGCAGTTGTCATCAGACAGAGAGTGCAACACAGAGCAAAGAGACAGGAGAGGTCCGAGCCCTAAGACTGGAATTTCCCACTCACTGCTACATTAATCGGGCCCATCAGAGTAGTGGTGAAGGAAAAGCAAGGTCTTACCAAGGAGAACAGGGTGCACAGGTGGGTACAAGCTGTGTCTTTTAATCCTGGTTCACCTCTCACAAGAAATACCAGTGCTCCTGTTCTTGTGAAGGGCTCAACAAGCTGCCCGAGCAGAGAGGCAGGTTGGTATCAGCTCTGATGAGCAGATAGAGATCTGACTCTCTAGACAAGTTAAGCCACCTCCTCCATCTCCAAACTTTATGCAACATTTTGTGTATCTGGACCCGGATTTGAAGGGATATCAATTGTACAAAGATGGAAGGATAAAGAGGGACAGAGAAAATAATATGTTTTTAGCTCCCTTCAGCACAGCCCACCGGCCCTTTTAACAAGTAGTGTGGCCACCAGGACAGGCACAGTCTGCTGGAGCTGAAGCAGTGAGCTGGGCTGAGGAGGAGGATCCTACAAAAACCAGCAGGTATTTGGGCATTTCCTTACACTAGATCTGGAGTTGGGAGACCTGGCAGATCTGCTTATTGACATTTCTGAGCTTCAAAGCTCTGACTGGAGAAAGCTAGGAACAGCAGATAATTGGGTTTACTAAATTCACTCAGGAATCCAAGCTAGGTGGTCAGGGAAGGTGGTCAGGAGGACAGTTTGCCAGCTGGTGCCTTTTAGGCCAAAGAATAAGCAGGTGGCCTAAAAGGGCAAAGAGCCGTGGGAAATCAGTAGGTGCCTGGCTGGGTTTATCTGCTGACTGATAAACCAGAGCTGCAAGTCTAGAGAGGACCAGCGAGAGCTGGAGCAGAGCCTCGCTGCTGCAGCTCCAGGGAGAGGACAAAACTGTCCCAGGTAGCTGGAAGAGTTTTCTGCTGAGAAGGGTGGGGAAAAATGGGACCATGTGAAGCTGGTGGGTAAAATAAATGGAGGAAGCACTTCATGACTGGGAAGCAATGCGGTCACAAGGTTGAAGTGCTGAGCAAGGGATCGTGATGGAACCAAATGGGAGTTTTGTGATAAGGATTTTAAGACTAAAGTGGCTTTCTTGGGGGATGTGTTACCACAAAAATGATGGGGAAATCTGGAGAGATAGAGGCAGTGTGTCTGGCACATAACCCAATGGAGATAG